AGAGAGAGAGAGAGAGAGAGAGAGAGAGAGAGAGAGAGAGAGATTGGTGACTTTGGGACTTGACGACATTTGGATTCAGACTCGACATTGGGATTGAGACATTGGACAAGGGATTTTTTGGGACCTGTACCGAAGACTTGGTGTTGACGACATTCCCATCTTCCCGTCTTCTTTGTCTAACCCCACTCCTCTTCGTCTGTGCATGGTTGGGGACTGGCGCATTCTTCCTGTGTGAGCGCCAGGCCCCTTCACACCATGGAATGATGATGATGATGTATGTTTGGTCTGCATTGCAACATTGATTGTTCGGATCATTGGTATATTAGCCTTCCGCTGCGCTATCTTGTACTATATGAGAGAGGTCGGTTCTTGTTCTGGTCTGCACCTTTACGGTATGCGACACAGATCCTCGCACAACCAGATCATGAGTAACAACTTAATAAGTTAATAAGTAATAACAACTCTCTCTGAATTTATCTGGGCCTGGTCAGTTCAAAGATGATATGTCAAATCTTTCATCGTTTTGGATGGAGTGAGAGGTGGGGGGAAGGAAAGGATATGCTAATTTTGATTATTTCGGGTGTGTCTTGGCTGCTTTTCTGCAGGAGAATAACTTGAGTGGGATTTCACAGAGCTTGGAGCTCTGCGAGTGTTTGTTTCGGATTCCCATCCCTCTCTCGTACACACGGTTGACATCACGGTTCTTGGTGGCATGGCATGCGTTCCTACCTCTGGCTCTGTGGGATCAATGTCACTGGATGGTGGTACCTGCAACACTGCTCAGCGCAGCGACTCTTTTCTGCATAGAGGAGGTTCGTATATTTGGCTTGAAAGTCGCATTCACAAATTTCACCTATTATGCCTTTCACCCAAAGTCAGTATTTATAATTTTGCAATTGACGGTTTCAGAGAATGCGATATGCGTCTGTTAATCTGAGCTAATAAAAGGAATCCAAAAAAAATCATTATCACCATTGCTCGAGTCTGCTCCCACCCTACGAACGGGCGTAGCTCAGTCAGTAAGCCCATGAACTAGTAGAATGCTCAGATCCGAGTTCCAGTCCCGATGGGACCACATGACTCAATTCAAATAATTCGGAATTACCTGGGACTGGTCAATTCCAGTATGATATCTCATTGTCATCGCCCTTTTTTTCCATTTTTTTCCCAAATAATTCTGACTTTGCTCGCGTCCTGAAAAAAGAAGTCGATGTGCCTCAACGTGGACAAAACCTTTGCCATTCTGGCCAATAGTGTCTTAGCTGAGTTAAGCTCTCAATGAAGTAACCTATCAACATTAATTGAGAGGGATGTCTCCGTACAAACCGTATTTGGTTAATAGTTAAATGCTCACATTTGACATGCTATCTGGGGGGGGGGGGAGGAGGAGAGAGAGAGAGAGAGAGAGAGAGAGAGAGATGTTGCACACTGGCCAACCCCGAATGTATGGTTTGTCTACTGTTAGACTACAACCCTAACCAACCTCGAGTGTGTGGTTAGCTTGTGTATAACTGCCCCACCCTAACCAACACAGAATGTATGGTTTGGCTTCTGTTAATCGAACAATACAAAGGTGGTTGTGGTCTATAGATTTCACGCAATTTCAATAGCGTTTGGCTAAGGTTCAACCTCAACTTCTTACCGTCTTCAACCAAAATAGAACGTACTGTCGTTGTTGCCGTATCTGGACTGAAAGTTGCCCCTAGTACAGCTATATTAACCATGCGTTCTATGAGTGGAAATGTTACGGACTCAGCCAGGGCTCGATCCCTGGTCCGCGGGGTACCACCCGCCAGGTTGCTATTCTATTTTTTTTTGGAGTTTCTGATCTCTGGTTCCTGACTGTTGGCGCCCTCTGCACTTGGCGCCCGTTCTCAAATCCCGCCTCTGCCACTTTCGGATTTCGTACTTGGCGCCATCCGGCATTCTGGCGCCCAGGCTCAGACCTTCGATTTTCAGTTCAGCCCCGAGGCAAATTGCACATTTCCCCTCGGACTCAACTCGAGTCCGGTACTTAAGACCGGACTCAAGCTGAGTTCGGGGACTCAGTTTCCGGCCTCGGTGCTTGTGCTTCAGTGTGACTTGCTGCGACATTGTGTACGGAACCAAGATTGCAACTTTGCGACTTTGCGACTTTGCCAATTTGCCACTTTGTGTCTGCGTCTTGAGTCGTGTCGAGTCCGTGTCGAGTTGAGTGAGTGTGTGTGTGTGCTCTCACTCCCTCCCTCTCTCTTCCCTGACCTCGCTGCTCTACCTCCGCCCCGTCACAGGAAATATTGTTGCCAAACTCGAGGGAGGAAATCCAAGGAGGAAAATACTCCTGAAATGTTGTACATTATGCTCGTTTTCGGTGATCCCTTTGATCAGGTGGGAATGCCCTGTCGTGTCTGGCTCGAGCATAACCATGGTAAAACAGCACGAGGCTGTTTGTGAAGCCCAGTTAGCTATGCTCAGGTGGGAGTGCCCGGTCGTGTCTGGCTTCAGCATAACCATGGTAAAACCAGGACGAGGCTGGTTGTGAAGCCCAGTTAACTGTGTATCATAACCATGGTCAAATGGACACGAGGTGGGTTGTTGAAGCCCAGTCAACTAAATAGCATAACCACAATCAAATGCAAACGAGGCTGGTTATCTATCATAACCATGGTAAAAAACAAACACGTGGCTGGTCGTTGAAGCCCATTTAACTAAATAGCATAACCTATTAACCACAGTCAAACGAACACGAGGCTGGTGATCTGTCATAACCATGGTAAAAAATGAGCATGTGGCTGGTCGTTGAGGCCCAGTTAACTAAATAGCATAACCTATTAACCAAAGTCAAACGAACACGAGGCTGGTTATGTGTGATAAGTTGATAACCATGGTCAAACGAACACGTGGCTGGTCGTTGAAGCCCAGTTACCAAGACACAGCAATTCACACACTGAGCGCTAGTGGACATAGACATCAAGTCTTGCTTTCCGACCATCCTAGCAGGGCTTTTCGCTGAGAGGGTTCCAAGTCTGATTCAAGCATTAAATTACCCCGGAGGGCAATGGAAGTTAGAGGAAGAGTTTAAGGCGAGAGGCGCGGGAGACGCATGAAGCCAGGGGCTCTGACTGTGCACAGGGGCTACTAGTACCAGGTCTGAACTGGAGATCCACCCACCAGGTGCCCATCAGATGCTGACCCCCAACTGTGCAGTGTGCAGCTCCCCTTGGGTTGTATGGAGGCCGTGGTGGGAGACAACTCCGAGAGGGGCAGGCTCAGTGCGGATGCGACAAGGGAGGAATGTGTGGTTCGCCCCTTCCTTGCAGGAGTGACGCTTATCCCCTGTTACATCTTCGACGCCACACGGGTCCTACCGGACCTGACTTAGGGTTAGAGGGACACAGTAGGGCCTAAAGGCCCGACCTTGGGGGTACTACAGGCCGTAAAGGCCTTACCTTGGACCAGACCCAACGGGCAGGCCCAAACGACATTACCGTTTGGGCCTGGCGGCGCTCTTGAGGCTGCCGCCCGCCGGTTGGGGCTGAACCGTCCATCTTGACGGTTCAGGGCACGGCATGGCCTCGCAGCATTGAGGCCGGCCTCTGCCCCACTGGTACAAAAGTACCGGTCCAGCCTCATTGAGGCTATCGACTCACCGGCACTCTAACGGTGCGGTATGGTATGGCGCGAATCAGCGCTGGCGCTATGTTAGCGCAGGAGCACGAGGCGCAGCGCAGCGCAGCAGCAGCGGCGACTGGGCGTATCGGCGGCCATAGCCGCCTGAGG